CCTCAACCGCCAAAAAACGGAAGCATGGTTAGGGACCCCGAACATTTTGTCCTTAACATCCCAAAACTTACCTCAGAACTACCTCAGAGCACTTCTCTCCGAAGGCTTTCACAGGCCGGCCCCCAAACCCCCAGACAAATGTGAGGGAACAGCCTCCCGTAGGCGTTTAAATTGCTTCGCCAGGCAGTCGAGCTTCTTCACGGAGAAGCTGGAGGCCCAAAACCTCAAGAATGCTTGTCCGAGTTCAGGATGTAGGGCCTGGGCAAGTTCATGGTTCGGTGTAGGGACCCGGGCCACAAACATCCGGACGCCGTTTGTGCTGCTGATCACTTGGCAGGGAAGTCCAATGGTGGATGAATGTAACGTTCCGGCTTTATCCGGCGGGGTTCACGAACCAAGTACTCAGCATGTCAGTTGGAATGACGATGCCAGACCAGTCTTCTTGTCGGTCAGGCAGTCCTGCAGACCCGAATGCACGAGTTGGCAACAGAATGTGCATGCAGTTTATCATGTGACTGACTACCTTGCTCTTCGACAGAAGCTGGCGAACGTAACGTCAAAAGTACCATGGGGCTATAGAGACTGACAGGCGGCCTTCGGACACTAGCCTTACAGACTCGGGGCCTGACCCCACAACCTCAAGCCCAAAACCCGCCTTAAGACTGAATCCCAAGCCTTGAGATTCATGACCGAAAAACCCCGACGTTGACACCGAGCCTTGTGCAGAGCCGGACATCGTGACATTCTCTGCATCCATCAGCGCGGCTTCCAGAGGCCAGTCTCCAACAAAGCGAGTAGAGGATAAGTTTTAGCACGATTTAGGGGTTTGGGATTTGGGGATTGGGCTCCGGGGTACTGGCTTAAAGGCTTTCTGTAGAACCGTGACGACGCACTGTCACCCTTCCAATACCCGAATCCATTTACTCCGTCTAGCACGATTACTGCTGCTCTTGCTTCGCATGGCTATTCCTGCTGGTTTCATCCAAGACTTCGGGCTCAAATTGGATCTCGGTCATGGCTAGTTACGGGAGCATTCTAGACTTTGGGCTCGCGGAGGCTGTGGTCCGAAGTGCGGGGATTTTTGAAGTCGTCGATATCAACCGCCCCAAAAGCCAATCGCGGGTTCCGGGCAGGCGCCCCCCAGCATGTGCGGCTTCCGGTAATGCTACTGGCCGAGGCGAGTTGATTGAAGGAAGTCTACTGTCCTGACCGGAGTGCGCTGCAAGGGCGGGGGGGTGGGGGGGGGACTAGGGATCCTTAGGGATTCTAGGGAGTACTGGGCTACCAGGGAAAATTGTGGATTGCCAGATCAAATACGCCCTCGGAACCCCCCTCATCTCCCTCCCTAAATGATCCCTAAGAGTCTTGGCGTCGAGGAAAATTGTTGTGCTAACGTTCAATCAGGCTTTGAGACATTGAGGATATGAAGCTTGCATACTTACCCTACGAGCCCTGAACATCCAATAGATTTTCTGAACGAGGACTACCCTACTTCGTGTCTCAATAGGATCTTCTGCCTGGTCAGCAGTAGACAGGACATCCATACACTGAAATTAACGGAATCGTTGTGCAAGTCAAAGCAACGGCCTACAGGACCTCGACTACGTGAAAAAGTCAGGCTGCAATAAGAACGAGTCCCGCACACCCCGTAACTTTCTGCCTTGGACCAGGCCATCGGTCGGCGATTGCTGCCAGATGCGGGAGAACCAAGCATCCGTTCAGTCGTAGTTTTCAGGGGTTAGAGCTTAGGTCTGGGGGCTTTACAAACCTAGAGTTCTTGTTGCTTGCTTCGACCAGCCAACCCCGCGGCCCCACCGTACAATTCTGCTCTTTTGTTGTTGTAAAAAAAAATTTTGGAAGAGACTTGAAGTCAAGGGGATGCCGTTGGCTTTCAGAGCGTTCAGGTCATAGTTTGAGAATTCTAGGCTTCTATTGAAGGAAGTTGAGAGGCTGGCCACACCCGCTTGCAAACACTCGCGCAGACTCTGTCCAGACGACTACATGTAACATGAGCAGGTGCATGTGCTTAAATGCAAGATATCTTCAAAAAGTGCACGACCTGGAAGGGTTGAGTCCAATCCTGCACTCAGGTATTCGCGTTTTCCTCGGTCATCAGCGCTTGTGGAAAGGGCCCACAATGGGAGGCACGTCGCTACTCCGTTAGGAATTAAAGCCGCAGCAGAGCTGCGGACTGCTGCGTAAACAGGTGTTCACCAGGTCCACACATTGCGGGTCTAAATTGTGGCCGGCGCAGTGATTCAAAGTTGCTTCAGAGGACAGGACGGAAGCTCTGCATAAGGCCACATTTGTGGCTACATCCTTTAAGGCTCCCAGCACAGCTCACATTGAAACGGCGAGATTGTGGAAACTGTTCCGTCCTAATCCTACGAGTGCTTCATACCTCCTACACCTTCAACTCATTTGATCTCAACATATCCCAACCCCTTCAGCCTCAAGGCCTCAAGGCCCACTGACAGATCCAGAAGCGAAATCTGCTCAGATGGCTTTGGAAGTATTGCAGATGCTTCGCCATGTCCTGAGTTGCGCAAGTGGCTACTTTTGTGGCTCACGATTTAGAGCCTAAGCTTCAAGGCCGACTTACAGGAGCGATGCGCGCGCACAGCACAGACCTCGGGTGCAATCAATATTTCCGGATCAGGAGAACCGAACCGACCCAGAGGGGCAAAACTGCAAGGCAGCCAACTTGCTGTAACTTACTTTCCTAGCTGCAGTGAGCTCGTGTTTTTTGTTTGTGGAAAACTGCTGCAGAAGCTGTTCTGGCGTCGAAATCACTAATCACCAAGCCATTCAACACATCGCCAGGAGGGGCTCACGTACAGACGCAATAGGACTCGACGCAGACACATGCACATGAACCGTCAGCAAACTCGGCTTTTGATGATGTCCATTCCGTCGAGTTTCAACATCTCAATCCGACCAGCATCGAATGAACCACGCCTTGCCCGTCCGAGGCGACCAGCCAGGCGTCCAACCGAATGTTGTCTGCACCATGGCTGCCCTGGGACTGTCGCTAAAGACTCTACTTCGAACGAGTGTTCGTGTGACTGCATGCGTGTCTGGTTGTTTTCTTTGCAGGAGCTGCTTTGATTCTGGTGCTGGGTCAGACATCGTGCAGCGATTCACCTCTGGTTCAGAGAGATTTCTTTGCTTCCTTCGCCAAGGCTTTGGCGCCGGGATTACAGTGGGAAGCCAAGCTTCACTTCTGTGCGCATTCAGTGCTTTTGCAGGTTGCAGGCTAGGCAACACAGATTGCATTCAGCCTGAATGTCGAGGCTTGCGCGAAAGGTCGTCACTGGCAGGCATTTGTCCTCGAATTCGGCTGTGGTTTCGGTGCTTCAGTGGTTCATTATTCATTACAGAGCCAGGTCATGATCCGCAGCTCGCTTCCAATACTGCACACAGAGCAGAAGAGCAGTGACAGCAGTGGCAGATTTTGCCGCAGTTGTCCATACCCCAACGACACGCGAGGGCGCTTTCGCTCTGCTCGACGAGCTCCGAGAAAGAGCATTGGATCCAGTTCCGCCCGGCACGCTTGCGTTTAGCTTGCATGGCTCACCGGAGGAATTTCTCGTCTACGGGCAGCAACAGAGCCAGGATCTGATAGCTTTCAACGCAGCCATCACGGCCTGTGAGAAGGCAGGTTTCAGGGTGTCGGCCGCACCCGTGTGGGTTCCTAGGTCAAAACGGGTCGGCAGCATTCCGCGACGATAGACAAAACACCCAGGTTGTTTAGTGCTTCCTCAGTGGCTGGGGGCATGTGCTCATGTGTAAATCTAGGAGCACCGATTCGTGCTTCGACTTTGCCCTATGATGAAGCTTTTGGACCTCAGCTCATGGGATGAGAGAGCATCCTAGAACGAAATCCTGCACCCGAAGCCGGGATACTTGCAACTCGAACTGCTCTCTGCTGTTGTCTGTCAGTGTTGTCTTCGAAGCCACCGTGCAGAGTCTTAACCAGGGCACGCCAGGGCTCAGCATTGTTGCTCCGAGGTATGAAAGTGGCATGCACTCCAGAGCGGCAAGACTGACACGACAGTTTGACAATGTTTGATACCGAATGGCCGCACACCCCCAGCTGGCCACGGGAGAATGACGACCCAGATTCAAATTCCAACCGTGAGGCCCAACGCTGGGAGTTCGCCCTTGAGCTGCTGATGATGATGATGAGCCAGGATTTCGGTGCTTTTGGTAGTTTTGGTTTGAGGCCATTTCGGGTGTTGGAGCTTTGTTCACGGAGTTCGAAGTTTTTCGGAAAATGGATGCGAGACCTTCCCGTGGTAAGACTAGCATGACAGATTCGATAGAGTTTCAAAGGGCTTCACGCGACAGTACTCAGATTGGGAGGTGCGATACGGGAGGCGGTGCAGGTTGAAACCTTCGCAGCGTCTCCAAGGCTCACATGTGGTGACACCCGACATCGTTTCTTTCAATGCTGCAGTCGCGACCCTCAGATTGCCGTGGAAAGACCCACTGATTGCTCCCAAGACCTGCATCAAGCGAGGAAAGAGTGAAGAAGAGACATGAGCCGTGTTGCCTCCGAGCTTCCTGGTTAACGTCCTTCTCGCCTTCGGCGTGAAGAGAAGCTGTTTGTTGGTTGAGGCACAGCTCCCACACTTTCGCGGCTTTGCTTAGATTTGAGAAATAAGCATTGTGTATCTTCACACACCCACACACTGCATGCATCCACGCAGACGCACACACAAACGCACGCACACGCAGATCCACCCATGAGGGGAATGGGGGTCCAACAAACCCTCTATTAGGTTGAATGTACTTTGTTGGGTGATCCGAACTAATGACGCCTCCTCTCGCCGCTTCCCCTTGTGACTGTCCCAATATCGAGGTCCGAAACCTGCTTTTAATTGAAACTTTATATTATAATAAACCAACTCAACAGACTTAACACATCACGTGTGAATATAGAGACTAAAATAGAATCTGGAAAGGTAATCTCTTAAATCTGGAACACTCAGTTCTTGAACAGAACCTGCAAGTCGGGTGCCTTTTTTGAATCTCCATGAGAAGTATTTACAGTCACTACAGTCACATCTAGCGCCTATTGCACTGATGTTTCTCATCATGTTATTGTACCCGCCCACGAATCATTCCATAATTCCCAGATTTGCACAGATTCGTAGAGATTTCCTCATCTGACAATGCAAGAGTTCCAGGTCCAGGTGTTGATTACGAGATGAACTTGTCGTTGGGTCCATGCTTATATCCTGAAGCCCAGCGAAATCTATGAATGGCAAATGCCACAGAGGCTGCATTTGCAAAGTGAAAACCCAACGACACTTGCTTACAAAGTTCAGGCTTCTGCTTGCGAAAAACGCAGCCAGTGGTGCCCACTGCTCAGCTGCTGTTTTTTTCCACTTCATGCTTTAAACCGCGACAAATAAAGTCCAGTTGCACCTGATCCATGCAGGTTGGGCATTGTGGGTTGCCTCGCAGACGAGGTGCTTTCAGCTCCGGTGCCGAGAGGGGGTTGCAACTTCTGCAGTTAAATGTCGGAACTTCACCTAAAGGCTGAGCCGATTCTAATAACAGTCTTGGGGGTTCGAAGCCGGGTCTGCCAGCTGGGAGACGCAAAAACCGTTGGCACAGTTTCATCAGCGGCTGCGTCAGGTACTTGCCAAAGTTGCAAGGTGCGGATCTCATTGAAATTGCAGTGGGATATCCATGAAATGCTGTTAGACGTTTCCGGTCGAAACGATGTTCGAGTTGCTGTTTGGATACAAGGGCCGCAAATCAAGAAAAAACAATATTTCGCAGGTTGTTCTTGTTGGTGACACAAGATACTCTTGCTTTGTGGAAATTCACGATGTTACTCTGCAAGTCGGACTTGCGGCAGTTGCATCACCACGGCCCGATCCTTAGGCCTTACTCACCGCAAATACTGCACAGGAAGTTGAAGTCTGAAGCAAGCCTTGCACGTGTCATCCGAATCGCTGAATCAGAGGCTCGGTTTTGCTCACCATCAGCAATGCTTGCATCAGTGCTTGCGCGAAGGCCTGCGCGGGTCGGGCAGGGCTTGCAATGGTTTTGCAAGCAAGCAGCATCAGATTGCACAACTGTGAAATATTAAATGAGAGCCTGGACCATGCGAAAAAATCCAGGGTCTCACTCCGCCGTATGGTTTTTCGGGGTCGCTTTGCGTTAGGAAATGTTATACGCGAGCAAGCTGAATGTCGAGGGTGGAGTGGCGAGAGCAGGAACTATGGGAAGGGGAGGGGAGGCGGGGTTCGAGCCAGGGTTCTTTGTCAGCCAAAGTCGTTCAGACATGGAGGTGGCTGGGCTGGAGGGTGGACACGGCGGGCAGGGCAGCAGGGAGGAGCGGAGGGGTCGAGTTTCACACTCTCCAGGGCAGCGGTTCAAGTCCTGTGGAATCGGAACGAACGAAAGGAGAGGGAGGGAAGTCATCCGGGTTGTGTTTCGGGCTGGCTGACCCGGCACAGAAATTGTCTAGAGGATCTAACTCACCTTCACAATTTCTTACCCTGTCCCACCCGAATCAGAAATGCTACTTTTTGTTTATCAAAGCCCTTAACTGCACTTGGCTGAAAGCGCCTTAGAAGTACAGGCACGACGGTTGCGCAAAGCCTTGGCGCTGGGGTGCGAACCTTGGAAGGCAAAGGTTCATCCTTGCAGCACATCAGAGACACATCTTCACAGTTTCAGCCACATCGCTTCGCAATCTCACATCATGATCACATGCATGTATGCATGCCTGTTTGCCTGCGTGCATGCATGCATGGATGCGCACGCGCGCGCGTGTGTGTGTGTGTGTGTGTCTCTGTCTGTTTGTCTCTCTCTCTCTCTCTCTGTGTCTGTCGGTCGGTCGGTCGGTCTGTCTGTCTGTCTGCCTGCCTGTCTGCCTGCCTGCCTGCCTGGCTGTCTGTCTGTCTGTCTGTCCTTCCTGTCTGTCCTTCCTGTCTGTCCTTCCTGTCTGTATTTCCTGTCTGTCCTTCCTGTCTGTCCTTCCTGTCTGTCTTTCCTGTCTGTCCTTCCTGTCTGTCCTTCCTGTCTGTCCTTCCTGTCTGTCCTTCCTGTCTGTCCTTCCTGTCTGTCCTGTCCTTCCTGTCTGTCCTCTCCTGTCCTCTCCTGTCCTCTCCTGTCCTGTCCTCTCCTCTCCTGTCCTGTCCTCTCCTCTCCTCTCCTCTCCTCTCCTGTCCTCTCCTGTCCTCT